ATTACTCGGGGTTCCTGTGGAACCCAGAGTTTAAATTTCGGGCTTCTTATTTTTCATTGTCGTCGCTTATCAGTCACAAATTGTCCACAGGTAGCCCAAGCTCATAATCACGTGTTATTCTAAAAATGCTATTTAGAGACCAAATTAGCGAAATATTATTATTGTCCTCGATAGAACATCTAAATGAAAGTATTATTGCGAAATTTTGAGCCAAAATAATGCTTTTTAACAGAAATACGAGCAAACGAAAATTGGTAAGAATGTATGGGATTATCACGGCTCAATGCGTTTTAGACAGGTCAAGAAATAACTACAAAAGGCTGTGTTTTAAGATCTAAATGAATTTTTCATGTTCATGGCCAAAAACAGCATATAATTCCCAACAATTATGCAAAGTTTGAAGTCAAACTGCGATTTTTTAGCAAAAATATAAGCGTTTGAATATGGTCTTACTTTACAAGGGAATGTATGGGAAAGCCCTGATGGTGTACTATCCAGTACACAACCACGCGGACAGTAACTCCGAGTGTCGAAATAAGCTCAAAAGTAATGATTTTGCTTCAGTTTTCTAACAATATCATTCTAAAAATTTAATTTAATGCTGAGACTATAGTTGTTTTAAGATTTATAGGCTTTCCGAGGTTAATTTGGCGTGTTTCAAGTAGCTTGACAGTATTGCGTGACATATTTTTGAACGTTAATAACTCAACGAATAAACAGCAAAAATAGTTGAAACTTTCAGAGAGAACTTCTATTATGCTCTTCAAGGTATTTTAGTACTTTAATGTTGTGTGTCTGTGATTTTAGAATTTTTTTCGACTGATGACTTCATGTGCAAACCGATGAGAATAGTCGGCGAGACTGTAATACGCGAGGTGGAAGAAGACAGAAATTCAACGTCTACAAATACGCTCAAATCACTTAAAAATATCCACACTTTCGTGGCATAGCCACACTAAAATATGACCAGCGTTTTTCCGAAAAAGGAATTTCAGAAGATACCGTAAATTTATCGAGAATTTATCTTACTGTCTATCGAGATCGAGTCTATCGAGAATTGTCTATCAAACAAGCTACCTATCTTAGCACAAGCGAACTGTATACGAACTTATGCAGTCTCTGAAACTACTAAGGTCTCGTCTAAGGAATGCGAACAGATTCTTCTGAGGAAAAGCCGACGAATGGAAGAGCGTAGAAGATAAAAGACTCTGTGTTTACAGCCTGTCATGTGACTATCAAAGACCGGCTTGCTGATAATCAATTTTTTCATGATATTTATGCTGAGTACACTGTTTTTTTATTATTTTTTATTCCAGGAAGTATTTTTTGCTTTACAYCTTTTGATAGTATGACTATTAACTTTATTAAGGTTCAATATAGTCCAATTCTTCTCAATTCTTCGACTACAACATGCTCATTGTTGTCACTTCATCGTTTTATGATATATTCAAGCAGAACCCCGAGTTCACGCAGCTATGCGTCTAGTTTTATAAAGATTTGCAATTTCTCTTTGCGTTTTAGCTTTGATTTTTCGGATAGAATAAAATGGCAGGCAGCCTACTCCACTGGGTCGAGTTTTGCTGTACAAATTCCTCCCGTCGGGGGGCTATGTTTACGACATAATATACTTAGAAACACTGATTAATTAAACATGAGTTTTATAACTAATCTATTGATGTATTATAAAACTCATGCTTAACACATCAGTGTTGTAACTGATTTACAGACACTCGATGTGTGCCCAACAATCGAGAAGTTCTCAATTTTAGACTCTCATCATAAAACTTCACTAGGTCTGAGTTTCGGATTTAAATGTAGTTATTGCAGAGTCATAATAGACTAAACATAGTGGCGCTTGGATGTGGGAAACAAAGTTGATTACAAGCATCACATCCAATGATTGTATAGAATAAATATCTTTATCAATATTATCAGCTGACATTATGATATGTCCTGCATGTTCACTATTATTGGAGTATATGTCGTCGTTTATACGTTCGCTTCAACGATTTGATTCTGCAAGTCAATGTCATTTCTTCGAACCACGTTTTCTGTTACATGAACTGCATGACAGATTGAGAATGTGGACACTTGAGCCCGCATTCCAGTCCTGAAATCGGGCATTCGCAGCGAGTAAATGATAAAGTTTACAAAGGAGTTACCATAGTGAAGTACTTTTAGCATATTAAGGAAATAAGGGGGAAATGTAAGGTAACAGAAGTCCAGAAACGCCGAACAAGTCATAAAAGGAACCCACGCAATCAAGCTGACAATTGTAACAATAGCAAGCGTGACAGATAATTTGCTATTTCTTTGATGGATGGCGTGACCTAAGACATTTCTCATGCATGTTATTTTTACCCATATAAGGAAATATGCACATACTACAATGACCAATGGTAATGAAATACTCGTCAATACAATCATTCTTTTAGTGTAGTATGTGTCGTCT